CGCAAGCAGTGACATTGCTGCATTGCAGCAGCATAAACGATTATCAGAGGATGTACCACGAATTAAAGATTAAGTTAAATCAAAAGAATCTTCCTCTTCAGCCGCTACTATTGGTAGTCGGAGAGAAACTAACTGAGTTAGACTCTTTTTACGTTATTTTCGACAGTATAATTTACAAGGTACCGACATTTTTAAAATCACTTGATACTTTATTTAAAATCTTTCATGTATTAAATTTGGAATATCCGATACAAGCGAAATCCTATATAATTTTATCGAATCCTACTTTTTTGGCATTGCGGATTGTGCACACCCTAATGTTATTACACTTAAGAATTATTTAAAAGATACTCAAAACTTGTTGGAGTAGATTGATAAAATGTTCAAATGCTTTATATGTAACGAAAGGTCTTCTACATCAAAATTGTTAGTTGACCATTTGAAATCTTTCCATGTTTTTGCTGAGATAAAAAATTTTGTTTGCACTTTCTCTAAATGTGGTCAATGTTTTTCAAACGTGTATAGTTTTCAAAATCACCTACGTAGAGTTCATGCGTCGTTGCCAAGTACACCTGCTGTATCTTATCATGCACCTGTTTTTGTTAGGCCTAATATTACTAAAGGGCAGACTAATAAATTAAGTTCTAATTTTAATAATACAACGCAAAAAAAATTTAATATGAATATGTTTGTATTGTCTCTACATAACAAAAACAATTTCACAAGAAAAGATGTGTTTTCTATTGTACAAGAAATTAACGATACAATTTTAAAGCCAATACAAGAACATGTATTAATGTCACTGTCGCCTTTAATATCAAACTCAAATATCAGAACAACCGCTGAAACAAATTTCCTTAGTTTATTTCCTGCTCTCGATAATAATATTAATGAGTACCGTTTTTTTAAGGCTTTGGAAAGTGAACAAATTTTTCAACTTCCAACTTCATACATTATCAATGAAGAAATAGCAGAAATAGTAGTTAATAGTAACCCGGGTTTAAATTCAAACAAAGTGGTAGGTGTATTAATGCCAATCAAATTTCAAATGAAGAAATATTTCGAAACAGACAATAACTTGAGCAAAACGTTAGGTAATATGAAAATGCTACAGTCAAATCAAAATACATATAAAAATCTCATTCACGGGGAAACTTGGAAGAAAAAAATTTCTAGTTTTGGAGATAAACTCGTCATTCCGTACATAATATATTATGATGAATCTGGAATTGATAACCCTTTGGGTTCCCATGCTGCTGATCAAGCAATTTGTGGTATATATTACAATTTTCCAACAATTCCAAGTCACCATTTGTCGACGTTAGAAAACCATTTTGTTGCAGTCTTCTTTAAATCTAGGCATCGAAAAGAATACGGCAATATTTTTGCATTTAATCCTTTGATACAAATCATTCAGCAATTAGAAACGGAGGGCATAGTTTTAAAAACTCAAGAGGGAGACTTCCACATTTACTTTGTTTTATCTTTAATTATTGGTGATAACCTAGGTCTAAATTCAATTTTAGGTTTCACAACAAGTTTCAATTCGAATTATTATTGCCGAAACTGTAAAAGACCCAAAAATAATTTACAAACAGACGTCACGGAGCATGTACAATTTTTGCGAAATGAGCAAACATACACCTCTGATTACACTCTTGAAAACGATAAATTGACAGGAATAAAAGAAATGTGTATTTTTAATCACATTCAAAGCTTTCATGTTGTTGATAATTTCTATTTTGACTTGATGCATGATATATTTGAGGGCGTTTGTAGGTATGATGTTTCAGAAATCATTTTACATTTTATTGAAACTAAAAAGTATTTTAGTATAGATACGCTCAATTATCGAAAGCAAATGTTTCAGTACGGTGAAACAGAAATTGGAAACATCTCTCCACCTATAAGTATAGGAAATTTGAAAACTTGTAACTTTCGAATGACAGCTAGAGAAATGATATGTTTTGTGCATCATTTTTCTTTGATAATTGGCGATCTAGTTGCTAGTTAAAAGTCATAATTCTTTTTATATGTCGCTGTTTAAAAAAACACTTATCCCGAAATTTCATATCCTTGTTCATTATTTCACTGCCATAAAAAAATGCGGCCCATTAAAAAATGTGTGGTGCATGAGATTTGAAGCTGTACACAAAATATTCAAAACGTACGCTAATTCAATTAATTGCCGAGTAAATGTTCCATGGAGTCTTGCGATTAAAGCCGCATTGAAATTTGCATATAGCTTGAGTAACGAACGTTTTTTTCAACCAGATTTAAATATAAGCGCTAATTCTGTATTACCAAGTACTTTAAGCTTTAAATACAATTCCGATTTTCAAAGAGAATATGAATTATCTAATTATCAATTTTATTCAAAAGTTACTTTTAAAGGATTTTTATTTAAAAGAGGGTTTTTTGTTATTGTAAAACAGGAGGCTATATACTTGTTTCAAATCGAAGATATTGTTGTAAGTTTGATGCAAAAACTTTTCTTTATTTGTTCACAGTGGGAAATTATAAATTTCAGTACACATATTCAGTCATACTTGGTAGGTGAAAAATCAGATAGTTATAGCTTTGTAAGTGCAGACAAAATTAGCTCACCTCCTGTACATATTCATATTCTTCAAAACAATCAAAAAGCAATCCGTTTAAAAAGTATTTAAAACAATTTGATACAGTTTTTATGCAGAGCTTAGAAAAACTCAACAAATTTTTATAAAAATTGTGGACTTTTAAAACTTTCAAACTTTTTTGGGCATGCAGTTTTATAGCCTCTTAAATTTTAGTCTGATAAAGCGCAAGTTGTAAGCGGATAAAAAATCGCGTTGATTTTTAAAAACTTTTTCATTGTCAGTTTTTATAAATTGCACTTGTTGTATAAAAAAAACCGCAAAAGCCGTCAGCAATTTTTTATCCGCTTAAAACTTGCGCTTTATCATACTAAAATTTAACAGGCTACAAAACTACCCAAAAATGTTTGAAAGTTTTTTAAAAGTCCACAATTTTTATAAAAATTTGTTGAGTTTTTCTAAGCTCTGCATAAAAACTGAAAGTTTGATTTATATAGTTTTGGTTAAAGCATAAACCATGTTTTCATAAAAAAGTAACAAAAAAAATTTAACTTTAAAAACCTTGCACATGTACAACAAAAATCACCATGGACTCAGTTTCGCACTATAGTGTATGTATGTATGTACATATGAAATTTTTGTGTATGAATTTTGTGTAATAAATAGATAAGTACTTAGTTTTTAAGTCAACTGTGTAAATATTTCAATTTTTTTAATAAAAATAAACTAAACAAATTGTTATTTATTTTGTAAAAGTAGGGACACAAGGTAACACGATGTCATATTAAAATAACATTAAAATATGGTTCTTTTAACATGAAGACGTAGTGTTATTTTAACAACAACTCCTGTTGATTCAACCAGTATTTTCATGTAGAATATCCTGTGAAACCAACAACATGCCTTGTTAAAATAAACCGATGTTTCAGGTTAAATTTACAGCACTTTCAATGTTAAATTAACAATTATCCAATGTTAAGTCAACAAGAGGGAAAAATGTTAAAAAATTTCCTTCATGTGAAAATAACATGACATATCGCGTTGAAAAATAATAACCACAAAATTGGTTAAAATTTGGTTGTTTTAACACGATTTTTTTTCTGGGTGTACATATTTTATCATGATCTGCCCTTGGGTTTCAACAATTTAGTGATAATAAAAAATACAAATAAACCTCTTATGTCTTCTTTTTTACCTGCGCCAAATAAATTTGGTATCGTTGAAATCAGCGTAAAAAGTTCTATCAATCGGCATTTTTGTTATTCTATAGCTAAACGGTCGCTTTTCTACAGTTGTTCTAGAAAGTTACGCAAACGAAGGTGACGCCAACGAATATTTAGTATGAAGGGTTTTTGGTTTTACTACTAATATCACTAGAAACTATAGAGGAAGCAACATTCGGCACAAGTAAGGGAGCCGATTTTATGTGTGGGAGCGAGAAGACTGTTTTATTACAAAAACTTTCTATTATTGAATCATGCTCCACGTGTAAAGTCATCAGTGAGCCGAACATTTGATGAGGTTATGGAGAAGATAATGTAAATAACGCTAGCGCTCGCAGTGCTTTTAAAAAATATAACTCTTCCGAGAACACAAGAAAATATTTTACTTATAATTTGGGCACTCTGAGTTTAGTTTTTGAATTCACCGGAATGCAAATTTACATTGTTAGATCTAATTTTCACATTTAATTTTTTTT